GACATGTTTATGAGAGAGTTTGTTCCCCAGAGCCTCAGAGATTCATGGCGCGCAGAGTTTGAGCACTTGCGCCAGGGTGCTATGACAGTTTCAGAGTATGCCATCCGTTATACCAGGCTGGCCAGGCATGCACCGGCTTTGGTTGCTACAGTTCGAGAGAGAGTTCGCAGGTTCATTGAGGGCCTTATTCCGCCCATCAGGTCTAGCATGGCTCGAGAGTTGGAGATGGACATTCCTTATCAGCAGGTAGTGAGCATTGCTAGGAGGATTGAGGGTATGCTCGCCAGGGAGTGAGGAGAGAGGGAGGCCAAGAGGTCTCGAGAGTCGGGTCACTACTCTGGTGCCCGTACCTCATCAGCAGCTCGTTATGGCAGAGGTTATTCAGGTCGCCCTGTACATTCAGCTCTTCTTGCAGCCAGCAGTACTCCAGCTCCACCTCCACCTCAGGAGCCTTATTATGCACCCCTAGTTTCTAACGCGCCTCCTGCGCGGGGTGCTTCTAGAGGGCAGCCCAGCAGGCCTAGTCCCAGCCAGTCACAACCACCGCGACCTCCCAGAGCTTGTTTTGAGTGTGGTGATACATGCCACATGGTTAGGGACTGCCCCAGACTTGGTAGGGGTACATCTTCACAGGCTGCTCAGCCGCAGCGTGCTCCTCAGAGTTCTCAGGCCATGATCACAGCTCCAGCAGCTACCCCACCTGCCCAGCCGGCTAGGGGCGGAGGTCGGGAGATAGAGGTCGCCCTCGAGAGCAGGGCCGGGCCAGATATTATGCTATTCCTGCTCGTACTGANCCATTTTTATCAAAACTCAAGGTTTGGAGCTCGGATTTGGGAGCAATTTCAAGGGTTTTTCAAGGGCAATCACTGGGTAACGATTCTCTACTCTCCTATGACTAAAACCCATTAATCTAATCGCAAATTCACCCTTTAATTTCGTGTTTTTGAATGGGAAGTGGGTAAACTTCTTAGACCTAACTATGGGGTTTTCAGGGGCCATTTGACCTCCGATTTGGGAGATTTTTATATGGTTAGACTCGTGAGAGCACGAGGGTTCTGAAAACGTAAAAATTATTCGATTCCGAGACGATGGCTGGAGGGGCATTTTGGTCATTTTACCTATTTTCGCGCCCTATCTCTAAATTTAATAGTGGAATCAGTTGTTTGCAATATTATTTACGATATGTAATTGAATTGAATAGATTTGGGCCATTTGGAATCGGATACTCGTGGCAAAGGCGTGGTTTCTATTGATATTGAGCCGGTTCGAGGTAAGTGGCTTGTCTAACCTTGTGTGGGGGACCTTTCCCCTTAGGATTCGTTATTTGTTGATTTGAGTGCCTCGTACGCGAGGTGATGGGCGCGTTCTTGAGCCAATTGTTGGAAATCCGGTTTTCTTAAGATATTGAGATTTAGTTCCTTTCATATTTGCTTTATTCTACTTGCAATTATAACCTGTGCTAGATTAGGAAAGCATGTTTAGTTGGTTTAACTTGCCTAATTGCTTAAGTTGCCTTAACTGTACTACGTGAAGCATGCTAGGCCAGTACTACCTGTTGTTTGTCTTTTTTACTTCGTTTCCGTGTACCTTCTGGTTGTGATTGCGCATTTACATTGGGACTACGGATGTGGGATTCCGGTAGCTCCCCCCCTTGTTTGTTTACTTTGGAACTACGGGTTCGATTCCCGGTAGATCCCCCTGCACTTTTACTTTGGGACTGCGGGTTAGATTCCCGATAGATCCCCTTGCACATTGATAGTTGGACTACGGGACGGTATCCCGGGAGATCCTTCGGATATACGCATATGATGGACTACGGGACGGTACCCCGGGAGATCCACTGGACAGTTGAGAAAAGGACTACAGGACGGTATCCTAGGAGATCCTCATTGTTACCATTGGTGTTAAGCTGTACTTATTCTGTGGTTGTTCCGTTCTTGTGTATTTGCTATTGCCTTGTTTAACCTCTCTTATTACACTGCTGTATTTATTATTTCTGTCAGATTATCATACTGTTAATTATTGTTATTACTATATTTTGTCTCAGTATGGCCCTGACCTTCCTCGTCACTACCCAATCGAGGTTAGGCTTGGCACTTACTGAGTACCGCTATGGTGTACTCATGCCCTTCCTGCGCATGTTTTTCATGTGCAGATCATCCAGGTACCTCTACTCAGGCGCCCTATCAGTGAGGCAGGAGGACTACGGAGACTTCGAGGTAGATCTGCTGCGTCCGCAGACCGACGAGTCTCCCTCTTATTCTATCTTTAGTACTTAGTTTTTCCTCCTTTTGGTTGTTAGAAATTCTAGAGTTTGGAACCTTTACTATACACTTTTGTAGCCTGTGTTGCCCGTGAGTTTCCGGGTTTTTGAAATTGTTTTAGACTTGTGATATTGAGTTGTACTTGCCAAGCGGCATTCAGTACAGTTTCTTTTAGATATTTGATTTGATTTTCTCTATTTTTCTGCAATTAATATATTTCCGCAAATGTTAGGCTTACCTGGTCATGGGGACCAGGTGCCGTCATGACATGTTCACGGTTGGTGAACTAGGGTCGTGACAGCTCAACACAACACTATTTAGCCTATCATTTAGGCTAAATGAATATCCATATTAGAGGAATTAAATAATATCAAAATTGAACCTGGACAAGCCGAGATTGTGGCCAATACCTGACCTTTTCTAATTTCATTTAATAAAACTGTAGAGTGTTTTTTACAAAGAAATAAGAGAGAGGGGTTTCTTGTGTACAAAAACTAATTTTTATTTCTAAATTGCTTAATCGCCGCAATAGTAATAAACTTATTCTTTTTTCACATAATAGAAAAATGAAGCAGACTAAGAGATCTATTTTTTTTTTGGTCCAAGAGATTTATTACCCGTTTGGACATAAATTGTTTTTTTTTTTCCGAAATTAGCGTTTGTTCATAAAATTTTCAATTTTCACTTGAAGATGCTCTTTGAAAAATTTCGAAAATTTGAAAAACTCCAAAAAGTTGTTTTTCAAAATCTTCACTCAAATCACTCACAAAACTTCAAAAACAACCCAAAATTATATTCATGTCCAAACACAACTCTAAAATTCAAATACCATTTTCACTTGAAAAAAAATTTCTAACCTATTTTGAAAATTTACAATTCTTATGTCCAAACGCCCACTAATCTTAGAGTTGAGAGACTTGAGCGGCGGAGTAAACTAACCATGGACTTTTGAATATTGCTTTTCTTTTCTCAATTTACAGATTCAAATTAATTAACCTACTGATGCTCTATTAGTCAACCACAAAATCTCAAGGCTCCATTTGGCATGACGTTGTTTTGCATGATAATATTTAATGAAGAAAGTTAAATAAGTGTATATTTGAATGAAAAATGTTTCATCAAGATTCGTTATTTGAGTGTAATAAAAGTTGGAAGCGTGTGATAGTATGGACAAGGATGGGACAGAAAGGTGGTTTAAAACTTTAAACTCATAATTTTGAGTTGCGAAGGATGATAACGTTTATATTTTATATATTGGTGAGTGACGGCCAAGAGTGACAAAAAGACTGAAAACACAGTATGTCATGCGCAGGATAACCATATCAGCAGAATTCATCTAGTATCATTTTTGCTGAAACTTTAATTTCCAATATTGTCACGCTAACTCTTCGACCATAAAGATATCTCTGTGTGACATATAGGTCACAGATTCTAACCGTGAAATCAATCATTGATGCTTACATCAAGATAGACTGCCTACATCACACCCCTCGGGGTGCGGCCCTTCCCTGAATCCTGCGTGAACGTGGAATACTTTATGCACCGTGCTAACTCTTCGACCACTAGACCAGTTCTGTTGGGTAACTCTTCTTGCAGAAGAGCGATGGAAGATACAAAAATCCCCAGAAGTTTCATTTGGTACACTGTGGACTGTATCGCTAAATAAAACTGGTACTGCTGTAGCAGCAATTAGCTAGGCCTTTGTCAGTCACTCAGTCTTAAGGAAAATTCCCTCTCAAGGTAATTACTGGAGTATATATTAAGAGCACCTGGTAACAGTTCCTATTCAGAAAGGTTCATCAACACCTGCTACACTTCTTTGCCATTCAACAAGTAAATACGTCAATAGATCTTGATTCACATGCCTACTTTATGCTGATGATACGTGAAATTCTCAATAAGAATGCAGCAACTATGCATTTCTCCTTGTATTGAAAGAGTTCATTAGTCTCATTTAGGGGTGTTCGTCGGTCGGTATGGTACGGTATTTAGATATTTCGGCTCGGTATTTTCGGTATTCGGTTTCTTAAAATGCAATACCAATACCGTACCTAATTAAATTCGGTATGGTTCGATTTTTTTCCTTTCGATTTCGGTTTATTCGGTTTGGTAACTTCGGTTTATTCGGTTTGAATACTAACTAGTGCATAGAGTCATAGAATGTAATATTCTGAATTAAAGTACTCAAAAGTACAAAACTAAAAACATTTGTTGATAAAAGTTTTGTCCAAAACAAGCAAATATCAACTTAGAGAGAAAACTGTACATAAAAGAATAAATTTGATCATTAGAAATGTCTTGTTACTTACTTAGAGTTAATTGATGAACTTAGAGAATAAAGGAACGTAAAATTTTATATTTTTATGTTTATGTTATAATTAATAATATGTGTATTTTGTAATTTAATATATTTTTCAGTACGATATTGGTATTTCGGTATTTCATTTTAGAATACCAAATATCATACCTAATACCAATATTTTTTAAAACTTAAACCAAATACCATACCGAATACCAAAATATCGGATACCAAATACCAAAATTTTCGGTTTCGGTACGGTAATTCGGTATTTACCAAATTATGCACAGCCCTAGTCTCATTAACACTTACGAAATAGTTACGTGTAATTCTTGTGAAACAAAGATATCAATAATCTAATAATTCATGCAGAATACTTATCCACATATATAGATAAATCGTGCATGAATGGAGGGACAGCTCTACTCCAGTGCGCGTGGATTCAAATATCACTGAAATTGCAACAAAATGCCCGAACAATCAGTATACTGCATGAAGAAAAACTGAAATGCAACATAAATTTGTTTGTACCTACCCGCATAATTCCGTTTTATCCTATTTCTCATTGTTTCTTTTTCAATTTAGACACAGGGTGGAGGAACATAGTTCAAATCCATTCTAAGAAGTATGAACTTAACCGTACATCACTAATGTACACAATATAACAATTTGCTGTCTCCTAGTTAGAACTACCTCGATAAACGTTGCTGGGATCAATACAGGCAGCTGAGTTCTCCTCTCCGGGACCCAAAAGTTGGAACAGAACCAATCTCATGGGATATAGTAATATGTAGATCTTTATCAACAACAATCCTTGCGATCAAAACAGGCAACTGTTGGACTAGAAACAACCCCAAAATTTGTGATAACAGATTTACAAACATGCCTATATGCGAATCTCTATCTGCTTATTGGTTCTAGCTGAACCTCCATGCGATCAGAGGACCGTGAGTCTTTCTCTGCCATTGCCTGGCTTGGACTGAGGAGGTCAATGTCCTCCTCCTCACCACTACCCAGAACCCAATTGCTTCTGCCGGATATTCTATCCCGCCTTCTCTTCCTCTCACGATACTCCAGGTACATCACTGTCAAAGCACCAACAAGAAACCACAGAATTAAAGCCCACATGAGCCTGTGAACATCTTCATCATCATACCTCTCTCCTAAATGCTTCATTCCAGTTATAAGTGCTGCAACCCCAACAACAATGGCACCCCTGCCTACAATGACATGGATGTACTCCCAAAGACGCCGTTTCGAAGAAAGCTCCTCCCCTGCCTCAGGTTTCTTAGGTCGTAAGTATGCATTGACAGGTTGTGCAATACAAAGAACTATGGCCAACATTCCAAACTTGACGTGTAGGGAGCTAAAACTCAAACCGCGAAGTTCGGCAACAGCAAAGAGAAAGCCAAGGAAGACAATTGCTAATCCCGAATACTGTAGATAAACATGAATCTGAAACCACCCATCTCCTTTTACATGTTTCAAGTATCTAGCTGCCAAAATTCCACCTGGCAGCAATATTCCCCAAGCCAGAAACATCATAAACCCATGTACAGCTAACACTGGCCGTAAATCCTCCTCTGCCTCTGCAGAACCACGCATGAGCAGCACCCTGATAGGCCTGCTACTTGTGACGGAGTGCATATTTCTCACGCTCAGATGGTCATCTGACCATTGAGCACCCATGGCCCAGATGACTTTCAGTGGTGTCGTAGGATCAACAATATTTTTGCATTCTGGTTTATCATCCTCGCAGGATGGACGTAGTGGACGGGTGAATTCCATAGTAACAATGCCATTCTCTAACTTGCATCTTACGTGTGTCAGATTCTCATTTGTTGGGTGAATACTGGAAGCATCTGTTCCATCAATCCAGTATGTGCTTACCTTGCCTTTACCAGTGTCATCAACCCATCCCACGTAAGCATAACTATTCACCATACCGCGGCCAAAACCAATTGCCAAATAACCACTCTTCTTCTCCCCTCGAGCTGCAATGGAGATTGAATTTTCAGCCAACGTCCAAAAGAAAGTAACCTGCTGATCATCCAGAACAACACTGTTATTATACATATCAGGCAAACCTGCATCTACCACTTGAACTTTCCACCCCATTTTCTTAGCATATAGAGACTGATAGTAAACTAAATCTGGCGTGTTCCGATCAGGAGCCCAAGTTAATTCCGTTGGACTGGCTTGAACTCCTTGTGCTTCAGGGCCCCCAAAGTAGATAGTCTCAGAGATATTCCTTAATGTGGCATTCCCACCAAGTGGATCTGATGTTATATAGAATGCAACATCATGCCCAGCCTGAATTGAAAACTTCACTGGAACACCCCTCTCTACCCTGAGAAGAGGTGCCTCTTTCTTGTTGATATAAAGGACCTTTGAAGGGTTTGGAGGATTCGGGTAATACACAGCTGGACCTGTTGAAACAACAAGTGGTTCTTTTTTATCTGCGATGACAAGGTCTTGATCTTGTTTATCTTCCGCATCCAGCGGACCCAAGCAATCATCAACATGTTCCGAGATATTAAGAGTCAAGTGCCCGTAACTACCACCATGGTTCTGTGGAAGATAAAAAGGGCGAAGACTATCCGGAGGTTTTATCAAACCTAAAGCCCATATCACTCTCATCGTAGCCTTTTGATTCAATGCCAAATCATACTTTGTATCAATGGACTTCAACGGCCTCCTAAACCTAATAAAAGATACACCATCCCTCCTATGCCCATAAACCAACCTCGTATTATTCACTAACCCGACAGGATCAGACCCTTCATATATTGTATCAGGACAAACACCCTCAACCCTCCCATCCTTGCTAATCATACACTCGCTATACTTAGTAATGAAATAATCATCAGCGAATGGCGATAAATCCTCCTTAAACCCCGTGACAGTAACATCACCACCAATCATAAAACTACTCGAAGCATTCGGATTCGCCCACCCGAATGCCATGTAAGTCAAGAACCCTATTGCTGCCTCTAATCCAATCTCAACCACATCATCTTCCTCATTCAGAGTCCACCTAACCCTGTAATTATCAGCTAACACCTTACAATTATTAAACATTGTAGGCATCCCATTTCCCTTAATCACCGTCCCATTAACGGAACTCGGCAAAGGAGCTAAAAACTCAGTCCCATTCGTCAAATTCCTCAGCACTACGTGCCCAAAATCCGACGCCATGGGAAGATCCCATACCGCAAGCACATTTATATCATCCCACGTCACATTCTTCATCAATTTCACAACAAATCCATCACTTTTATAAGTTTTATTCAAATTCTGCTCGGATATTACAAAACCCTTCGTGAGGTTTTCCAAATGGGGACCCACCGCACCCCACCAACGCACATCAGACCCCTCAAGCATATCAAATTGGCTAACTTTAAACGAGCAATCGTCTATTACATTAATCACACCACGTAATTGATGCTGTGCCATAGAAAACTGGTATGTGAAGTTCATGAGAGATGCACTGTGGGTTTTCGGGCACCCCGAACCCGGATCCGAAACGGAAAACCGGATCAAATGACAAAAACTTCCAACAATAAGTAGCAGACGCCATAGTTTAAATTTACTTACGTCCATATCATATAGATCCCGAGTTAATCAATCGGGATTTTGTATAAATCACAACAAAAGAGAGTGATTTACCTCGAATTATTTATTCTTTGGGCTTCATATACAACAGCAAATATCAGGTGGTGTTATGGAATGAGAATTTTTTCTGAGATCGGCGATTGGAAAGGAATAAGGTTGGAAAATGCCGGAATCGCCAACCTTGAAGATTTCGTTAGTTGGAGTTGACGTAAAAGCCGGATTTTTTTAATTTTTTTTTTTTGGTTGAGATTTGTAACTTTTGAGCAGTAGGCTCAAATAGAGACCCTAACTAATCGAAACTCAACTAACGTCCCTCCATAATTTATTGGTCTTATTTTTTGGCTCATAAAAGTTTTCAGTTTAAACTCACTATTCACAATCGCATAATAACTTATAAAAATGATTAAATAAAATTTTCATTATGCAATTTCGCGATTTGGGATGCTAAAAAAGAAACGTAATTTATACTAGCTTGTTTGGCCAAGCCAAAATAGTTAATGTTATATAAGTAGATAAATAATCATAAATATTTATTATTAAAGATAATAAATAAGTTTTTAATTTTATTTAAGTAAAATATAAAAATAAAATTAAAAAGTACTTTATTCTTTCAGGATAATTTAAATATATCAAAAAATCATTCCATAAATATGAATGTTCATCCCAAAAATCATTATATATTACTAATGATTTAAACTAAGTAAAGTTATCTTGGTATATATAATATTTGCTAAGGGTATTTTTGGTAGAAAGAAAAGCAAAAACTGCTTTTGCTTCTGGGAAAAAATTACATTTTTCTGCTTCTTAAAAACTGTTTTTGCTTCTAGCCAAAAATACTTTTTTCTCAAAAAAAGTTCGGCCCAACACCTCAATTAAAAAAAAAAAAAAAAAAAAACACTTCTAGCTTTGGGGAGAAACTTGGCCAAACAGGCTATCGGCCAACATAAAGTAGTAAACTTTAAGACATGATAAATGCGAAGCTTTTCTCGAGGTTTTTAAAAAGATTTTTATGAGTATCCAATTCGTGCTCATAAATAATGTCAATCTTTACATTTTTATATTGGTCTACCTTTTTCAACGGTATTTATAAGTTTATAATATAGCAATAGGCCAATAGCAGTAAATAAATAAATAAATATATATATA